TCACGGATCTATATATATATATCAGCGGGAACATGATATGTGTCCAATTCCTTTTTTAAATTAAACTTTTCATATTCAAAGATATGCATGACAGAGAAATTAATGAAAAAGAGGTACAAATAGATGTAGAAAGATGGAGAATATTAATTGGTCTGTGTATATGTAATAAATACGTTGATACATACAGTTCACCAACGGAACACGACACATGTCCAACTTTTTTTTAAATTAAACTTTCCATATTACAAAGATAAAAGGGTTGTAAAAAATTAATGAAAAAGAGGTTAGTTTCTTGAACCCTTATTCCTATTAAAGAGATTATCGATTATATTAATTTTTATTTTCTTTACACATAAAAATATTCTTCATATCACCACCGTTTATTTAAAACGAGACAAATATTGATATGATGTAGATTTTATATTACGAGATTTGTATTTTTTATTTTGTATATATGTATATATATAAATAAATATTAAAATAATATTATGAATACAGAATCGTTTTTTTCAATTTAAACATAAGAAACTATAGATTTGTTTTTATTAATTTGCAAGGTCGGAGGAACCAAATGGGAGATAAGATTAAATAATAATTAACCATTACGTGACATCGGAACCCTAGCTACACCGCTGAGAAATCCCTGCCTTCGCGCCGGACCGACTCCGGCCGGCCATCACCGCTCTCGCCATGCCTCCGCGTCTTCAATCTTCATCAGCTCCTCTGTCCCCAGGGATCCTAGGGCCCAAACCATTGAAGTTCAACATGTTCTTGTCTTCTCCCGCTATGGAGACTTCTCACCCCTCTCTTCGGCCATCCGGCTCCCCGGATGGTCGGCGAGGGGGAGTTAGCATAGAGCTGCTTCATCTGGCAGTCAGTGGTATCGGAGATCGATGTCTGGAGTGGGTATGGGGATGACCAGTATCGAGAGCCATGATATCGGTGACCGATGAGGAGTATGAAGATCACTTGAGGTACTCGCAAACAATTTTGCTTGGACTATTGCGTCTCGTGTTCGACACGGGCATGAATGAATTGTTGTATTTACCTATGTGTGAGATACACGTAGAGACGATTGACGGACTATGATTGAGATTGCTGATTGACTGCACGATGATTGAATTGATTGATATATCTCGTCGCATGTATATGTATAATATTGACTATATTGTTTGGTCGTTTTCAATAAAAATAGAAATCTCGGGTGTAACCTAAGCACGTAGCTTAGGACGTTATTATGCAACGTTTCAAGTCGTGAGCAGCAGCAGACGTGGGGCCCGATTACAGCTCGACTTCCATATTATGTATAATTACTTTGGACTTGTTCTATTTTCAAAAAATAAAAGGGTAGTGACCTTCGGACTTTTGCATTATACCTTTCACCACTCATATTATGTACTGGTATCCTTACGTACGTATATAAACGTACTAATGTATATCATAATGTCTTCCGTTGTATTATATTTAAAATGGATGGTTTTAATTTTCCCGTGATTTTACAATTCAAAATTTTCCGATTATGATTTTACTTGTCCAGTGGCACAACCTGCATGCGGGATGCGGGATAAGG